AACAAGCAAGGCAGCCACACACTGGTCCGATGATCACAGAGCGAGAGACAAGAAAGGCAAGGCTCACCAAGCCATCCATCTCTCGGCCCCTCAGTCAATCCCACCTGCGTTTATCAGCCAGGCTGGCACAATAAACTGTCTCAGGAGGGAACTCAGGAAACCATGAGTTCTTACCAAAAAAACACGAAATGAAGGAGAAGAGGAGGCTCGTACAGTAGAATTCCAAAAGCCAACTGGATAATTGGGAGAAAGGAGCACACTGGAGTTAAATGACCACTGTAAAAACTGGCTCGGGTCAAAGAGATCCAAGAACGGAGGGAGATTTTGCTGAGCGCAGCATTGCGATGTTTGAAGAGCCCTGGTGGCACACACAGTGGTTAAACATTTGGCTGATGGTTCAAATTCACCAGCCACTCCATGGGAGAAAGATGCGTCAGCCGGCTCTCATAAAAATGTTAAACTAGGAAACCCCACAGGGTCAGTATGAGTTGGAATCATCTTAACAATGACTGTCAAGGAAAAACACTAATTACACTGTGGAGAAATCAGACCACACTTTGACGAGGTGATCAAAATGACCGTCTCTGAAATCCACAGGGACACTTCGGCCCTGTCCCAGAGTGACCACGGTCAACCAAGGAGGTGCCGGAAGCACTCGTCGGAGAGCTCCGTCCCTCCCTGGGTGGGCCGTCACCCCGCCCAGGAGTACTGGTCCCCTTCCCCTCCTGTGAAATTGCACGAGCAGACAAAATCCTGGGCACTCCAGGGACAGGAAACGCATCGGCTTCTCTTTCACGGCTGTTGTTAGCTACTGCATCTCAGCGTTTCTGACAGAGTCTAACAGAGCCGAGATCAATAGGTACCTTCTGGAGTGACTGGATCTCCAAAGGCCTTTTCTGTGATTTCTTGTGCAATTCAAATCACCTCAAAAAGCAGTCAATATCATCGATTGGACGAATGTCAAAAGGATAATGAGGACATGCTAGGGACAATTTTATGTCAGGACATTCAGGTACTTAGATGAAATTTGGAAATTTCTGAAAAGGTAAACTACCAAAATTCAGTCAAAAAGAAAGCCGGAACACCAACAGCCCTGCGTGTAGAAAGGACATTAAGTTTATAACTAAACGCCTTCCCACAAAGAAAACTAAGTCCATATGGCTTTATGGTTGAATTTTATCAAATATTTAAGAATACCAATTCTATACAAATGCTTCCCCAAAACTTCAGAAAACACTCCCCACAGTGTAACTTATGACAAAACTATAATAATTTATGAATTATGAAGGGTTCAGGGGGG